CTAAATATATTATGTATGAAAATACAATAAGCTCATGTGGGTGTGTGTAAACAATGAGTGAAATCAAATCTAACTCAAATAGCAAACTAACAATAATAAGAATATAAAAATCAATAATAAAATTGCTAGAGAAAAGAGTTAGAAAACTTCTCTATAAACACAAAGGAGAGGATGAAGAAGATTGAGAATGAATCCCTCAATTTGTAATGTAAGCTTCCTCCTTTGTAAACAAAAACCCAAACTTAAAACAAAAACTTAAACCCTTGTCAAAATCTTTTTAAACCATTCTCTTGGGTTGCAAAACAAAAACAAACTTAAAACAAAAACTTAAACCCTTGTTAAAATCTTTTTAAACCATTCTCTTGGGTTGCAATGAAGGATGAGAGCAAGGGGGTATTTATAGCCTCCCAAAATCTCAGCCAAAACCCCAAAGGAAAAGGCCAAAAAACCAACAGAATCAAAAATCAGATTTTGTACAAAATAGCCGTTGGAGTGAACGGCGGTCGATCGTGGAAAACTCGCGGTCGACCGCGAGCTAGCTTTGAAACTCAGAAAACTTCCAGAGACTTACGCAATCGACCGTGGGAATTTTCGAGCTGACAATCGATCGTGGCGGTCGATCGCCGCATGCTAAAAACAAAGGCGTGGTCGACCGTGGCGGTCGACCGTGAACTGATATATGAAATTTACAGTTTTATAAACAGCTTGCTGATTTTAAAACACTGTTTAAAAATATCAAATAAATTTCAAAAATTATAAAACTTTAGGAAATGATTGTAGACATAATAATACACATGCTACAAAAATTGGTTTTCTAAAAAGACTTCCCAAATGAGAAATATCATCATTTTACAAAATAGTCCAAAACATGAAAATGTGAACATATGAGTTTTGACATTTTAGCTTAACCATGTTTTGAAACAATACAAAATGATTTTATAGACTTAATAAAATATAATATGTATATGAATATTGTTAAGTCCAAAAACTAAGAATACAATATTTTCACAAATATGCATATTCTATGCAATGGTTACTAAAGCACAATAATAAATATGAAATATGTAATCTCATATTTATAAACATAAAAACCCAAAACACATGTATGTATATATATAACTATATATATGCATAGAAAATATAATGTGTGTGTATAATATTGAGCTTAAAGTACTAACACACATAATATAAAACATAAACTAAGTTACCCAAGCTTGATCTTGATCTTTATTGTAGCTCAACTTGGTACACGTTGCGGATGAAGCTTGAACTTGGATCTTGAACTTGAATTGCATAGGCTTCAACCCGACATTCCGCCAACCTCCATTAGATATGATCGTTGAGGCTCTATTCCATCCATCCTCCAATTTGTTGTTTGCCTAGAATAAATGCGAAAACACAAACACTAGACAAACAACATTAGATATAAATTGTTTGTTAAATCATTATCAAAACAAGAAGGCCAACAGTATGATCATTAGCGACAGTCGGATTGCAACATGTATGAAGTCCGCAATAATTTGAGATCACAAATTGTCCGTTGGATTTTTTCCTAACAGCTGCATTAAGCTTCCATGGGCATTTTAAATTTCTATCGTCTGCAGCACTTGTATAAGAGGCTTGATATTTCTCATTGAAGTAACACTTTACATGGTAGCTAGTTGCGTTGGATTTCACCGGCTTGAATTTGACACGGTTCCTAATTGTCCATTCACGTATAGCGAAAATTAACCTTTCCTTATTCTCAAATAGATCTCCTTTTGTGAAAGTGATATCCTCAGGTCGATCGAAATTAGGACCAGGCTCAACTAACTCAGCTTGTGAGTTATTTACCCACTCGTCATTTTCAAACTCTTCGGGTAACGGTTCTTTAGACTCTATATAATCGTTGTTTACGCAATATTCATTCATCCAACTTGCATCATCATTGTTCTCTCCAGTTGCGAACTGCATACTATCAAGACGTTCCTCCTCGGACTCAACATCTTCACTATCATCATCAGCATCTACATATTTGTCCTCTTCTTTTATAGAACCACCAACCGGTAAATCAACTGAAACATCATCATACGCGTTGTGAAACATGTCACTTGACGTTGCACCTGCGTTATTTTTTAAGTGCAAGGCACTTTGAGATAACGAGATTTGACTTTCAAGCATGCGAGAGAACTCTCCATGAGCATACGAAACTTTAACAACCCCAGACTTTGGAATATTTTTAAGAACAACTCAATTACGATTTGTTTATCCGCAAATTGTATCATGTCATTCAATTCTTCATCAGTGGTGATCTCTACCATAATTGTTCTTTTTTTATTTATTGGACAATTACAAAAGACCTTAATGATATTTTCGGCATGATTAGTTCTGGTAACTCTGTATATTTGTTCTATCATTCTATCGAAATTGTAATTTCTAGACAACATGAACATATTCATAGAGCCTCCATCATATATAAGCAAATTATTCATTCCAACACTCAATTTCCCATTGAATAAGCAAATAATCGGAATTCCATTCGCCATTTTAACTGAAGAATTAAAATTTAACGTATACAAATTAGATATTTTACAAATTAATTATCATAATTCATTATTTCCTCTAGATATACCTCTAAATATACATATTAACTAAGCGAAATTGGAGAAATTTATGAAAAAAATTGAAATTGTTACCCTGACGAAATCGGATCTCGTTGGCGTCGGAGATCAAGTTCGGCGTCAGATTTGAGGGAGGAGGGGGTGAGTTGGCTTTGGGAGAGAGAGATTGGGTTTGGGAGAGATGGAGATTGGTTTGGGAGAGATGGAGATTGGGTTTGGGTGTGGAAATCGGGTTTAGGGGAGATGGAGATTGGGTTTGGGTGTGGAAATCGGGTTTGGGAGAGATTTCAATGGGTTTGGGAGTGAAGGTGAAGAGATTGAGATGGGTTTGGGAGTGAAGGTGGAGAGAGAAGTTAGATTTTAAGGGGAATAGCAGAATTTAGGGCACAGAGTGTGATTTATTCGACTTTTCTACGGGACTAGTAGTCCCGTAGAATTGGCTAAGTTGGGTCTGGAAAATGGACGGGACTAGTAGTCCCGTACGTTTTGTTCAACCACGAACAACTGTCAGAAAACATACGGGACTACTAGTCATCGTATATTTTCTAATCGCTAATTACTGTGTTGAAAACATACGGGACTAGTAGTCCCGTATGTTTTCAACGCACTTTTTTGAGAATCGACCTCTTTTTGGCCAACAGGCCAAAAAGATGTCGATTTTGCTAAATATTTAACAAAATGATCGATTTTGCTAAATATTTAGCAAATGTGGTCTATTTTCAGAATTTTTCCTACATTTAATTTCCTTCTCAAAGTGGCGTTATACTTTATTAAAAAAGAACTACAAACGTAAGGAGTTCTACTTTGAACAACTAAGCTATACTTTGTCTAGAAAGAATTATAATATGTTGTACAGAGCTATAATTGAACAGTCAAGAAATAATTGAAGAGCAAGACAAGATGAGATTGTTCCAAAGAGTTTTTCACTTCAATTGCAATATCTCATTTTAAGAAACAGTAATATCTCATTTTAAGAAACAGTTGGTAGCTGAATTTACAAACTTAACAAAGAAACATTATGGACTAGGGTTAACCGAAATGAATACTGTGGTCGAGGTCAGAAAATGGATGCGAAGGAGAGGGACAAATTTTGAAAACAGATCCCTTTGTAAAAATATTCTCAAAAAAAGACCCGTTTTCACTTTATTTTCAAAAAACGACCTAGTTTTCCACTTTATTTTCAAAAAATAACCTACTTTGTTGAAACTGGGTCGTTTTTTTGTGAAAAATATTCCCAAACTTCACGGGAGTTGAACTCCCGTGAAGCTTTTTTCATAACAAAACTTCACGGGAGTTCAACTCCCGTGAAGTTTGTGAACATTTTTCACAAAAAACGCGTTTTTTGCAAATATTTTCTAAACAGGTCTTTTTTTAAGAATATTTTTGCAAAGGGGTCTGTTTTTAAAATTTGACCTCAGAAGGAGAGTGATCCATTCAATTGAGTTTTTGCTCTACATTTTATCAAATAAAAGTTGGGTTTCAGGGAACAACATGTATGTATTGTTGTAGACATCGAGGAGCAAAGAAGTGATGAGCATGTTGTAGCCGATGTTGAGTTTGGGGAGAGACTAATTACAAGCATATATAGAAAGGATGAAGTCTGGCGAGAGTTGAAAAGGAGGGAGGAGCCGAAGCGGTAAGGAGAGGAGAAGGGGTCTAGATTTT